TACAACGGATCCAAAGTTTTTTCCAAAGGGTTTACTTCGCTTTGCTTTAAAGGATAGGGGGGAGAGAAGCGTACAAGAAAGCCCCTACTCCTAACAAGTTGCGGAGTTCTACCAATTGTTTATTCGCAATGGCTTGAACGAATCCGACGAGGAATCCCTTGCTTGATAGGGCGAATATAGCCCTTAGCAGCAATTGAACGACGATTGAACTCGACAAGGAGATATGAAACCGAAAGACTTTCTATCTCATATACCGAGGAAGTATTTACATTTATTAAAAAGGCTCAGTAAATGACAAAAATGGGACCAGGGTGAAACGAGCTTTAAGTTTAAAGATCCCACATAAGTCATATATAAATCCCACTAATTAATTAAACTGATTGCGAATATTGATAGTGTAATATGCCTCTGTTTTTAATGTCGAATATCGTTCTCAGAGAAAGGCGCTCCATTAAAATTCCATCACTTTCCCTACACATGATCTAAGATTAAAAAACACCACAAAATAACCACATCTTTTGAAGAAAACATTATTTACATCAAATTCCTTCGCATGTATAAATTTTGGAATACAAAGTACAAACAGAATTTTTAAGTACAAATTACTTTGAAAACCAACTACATCTCATGATTGACAACTATATCACAAATGAAACTAAGAAAATTAATTATGGCGGTCATTTTGGGGGTCTAAAAACTAAGCTGCTTCAGGCATGCGATTCTCTGATTCCTTGTTTCTGAATGGTTCCACAGAAGCTTGAATTGCTGATGCTGACGCTGACGCCCTAGTAGGACCATCCCCAAGCCCAAGACTTGAAAATGCAACACTCAATGATTCGGCAGATTCTGAAGATAATGTTTCTCTTTCTGCTTCATTAACCCCATTTTTAAGGATCATAACTTGAGAATTTTCACTTTCAACTTCCAACTCTAATTTCTTGAACTCCTCTTCAATGTCTTCATCGTCAATTCCTTTGTCCGATGAAGCTGATTCTGCAATAGCCAAAGATACTTGATTGAATCAACAAAATCATCTAAATCACAAAACCTTGGTCTAAATACAATTGCATTGGCCACAACTCACATAAACATAAACTAAAGGAAAAAACAAATACCTAGCACTTTCTCAACTTGCTTTTGCATATCAATGCTGTGCTCAAGTTCTTCTAAACAGATTTGAACTTCCTCCACATTGATCTTATTTTTCTTTATTGCTTGTGCTCCAATTTGGATTGCCTCAGAGACCTGCCATCAGGAGACAAGCAATCCGATATTTAGAGAATGTCTACACTGAAATACATTTTGTTAATAATCTATTGTGACTGATGAGACAAATTATTAGTGGCTCAAATAAGTTTTATTTACAATCAAGGAAACCTAGACATACAGCCAAAGCCAGCCAGAAAGATTTCTCCATGGCTAAAATACCTTTTTTGTAGATTCAGCATTTTCAATAACACTTAGCACTTCCTCCACTCTGTTCAAAAGTGACGTACATTTCTCTCTACTCTCTTTGGCCAACTTTAACTGCCTTGCATGTCTCAGGGCCACTGTCTTGTTTCCAGATTGCAATGAAGATAATGCTGATTTTCTAGACCTGCACAACAAAAGAAGTCTCTGCATCAGACTTTAGGCCAACCAAAAATCTTCCAAATATCCATACTTGAAAAAAGAAGCTGGTAACATTTTCTCAACCAGCTGGCATAGTGCTTGACATCCCATCAATCACTGACATAAGCAAGAGAAATTATACAATTTACCCATGACCTACAATTTAATGTCAGTAAAACTTTGCATAAGCATAGTCCTTCACATTATTTTGCACTATATTGAGAACCATAACCTACAACAAGGGATTCTACAATCCCTCTGATGATTAAGTTCGCTCTGATATAGGACCTAGTTAGAATCCACATGGGTTGCCTGTGGAACCCACAATCTAAAGGCAATAAGATTACCTAGAATGTCTAGAATAAGTCAAAGCTGTATGCTCTCCCACACGTCTTTATCTAAAATCAATCACAATCATGCTTACATGGGGCTGAGACCATCAACCAAAAAAAAAAAAAAAAAAAATCAGTATATTGAACAAGTATCAGGAGGACCAAATAATTACATCTCATAGTGTCTGTCAGTAACATCAAGCTGTTGCTGAAGCTTTTCCATTGTCCAAACCAGGTGCAAAACGTCACAATCTAAACTTGAGATACTGGAAACTGCTGCCAGTGAAAGGGAGACTTTTAGACCCTGTAACCATAATCCAATAACACACCTTGAAATAAGAATGCAACAAGGCACTTTAAGTACAACATGATAAGAGAGGTCAATTTTGGCATCTAGAAATGCATGTAACAACTCAAGGAAGAGACAGCTGGTTCTAAGCTCACTTGATTTCACCATTCAATTAAGTAATTTGGTACCTAAGACAATAGAATATGATTTATAAAAATAAAAGGATCAATATTCAGTACCTCTATAAAGTCTTTCTTACAGATTGACAAATACTGTGCTTTCCCACATCCTGACAAGTAACTCAAGACTGCAGATGCTTCATCTTTTCCTCCACACAAGTCCTGGAACTTCTTCATCGTAATAATGCACAAAGAAGTCCAATGACTTTCAGATAAACGTTTGATAACTTCAGCAGCTTTATCCTAATCATCCAGAAAATAAAATTTATCACAACTTAAAGAGACATTAACCATGCCATCTCACCTTTTCAAAACTATAGGCATACAAATGCAAGATCCAACTCAACTCAACTCAGCAGAGCATTTGTCCCAACAACTTGGGCCCTCAGTAAAAATAGAAATAAGCTCATGAAACAAAAAGATTAAACATTTCCAAAATATATACCTTCATAAGTGTGGCAAAAATAACATGATCTTTGAGCAAAACTTCTGGAGGAATCATTGTTCCAGCCATTAAACTTCTAACTTTCCTACACAGCTGGGAGAGTCGCCCACTAGTTGGATCCACAAGGTCCGCACTTCGAATAATATCACCTTCATTATACATTACAAACTGGAAAATGAAAAAACAAAATAAAATATACACAACCTAAAAAAGAGATGTCATTTGAGATGCAAACATCTGCTGCCAACAAACTCATAAAACGCTACCCTCAATACGGATAACAGAGCTTCCGTTTAAATATTAGCATCCAATGTTGAACTTAATAAGGTTTAAGAACCACTTTGGACGTGTCCAGCCACTTGGCATGACAAATTATGTAAAGAACCTACAACACTGAAAATTTTATTTGCTTCATATATTATTATTAATTAAGTTGATCATCAAAAGTAACCATTAAGTAGCAAGAAGCTCACCAGTACATGGTCAAGACATAAAGGTGTCAGCCCCCCTCGATTAAACCACTCGTGCTTTATCTTCAATTAAGCAAACAAACAACCGAGTCTTTCCATTAATTTCTAATCAGTAAATAATAGACAATCAAGAAATGAAAATCTTTAACACAAAAAATAAAGCAAAACCTTGGAAGGATGAATGATTAGAAGGTCGAAATGGCGAGCGATTTTGAGGATCAAATCTCTCCAAAAGTGGAATTTGGGTTCCCAATCAGATCTTTGTCCGCTAAACGCTTTGAATCTGGCAGAGGTTACTACGTCGTCGCTCCAATCAGGGACTTCATTCGTTATGAATTCTGTCACTGAACTGGAGCTCATTATTAAGATTTTAGGGCAAAGGATTTTGAAGTTCAGGGAAATTATTTGGCTTCTGATTTCTTATATGATGAGTTGGAATGAATGTTCAATGTTTTTGGATTCTCACGAACCAGGAAACGACGGGTCTGGATTTTGGAGTGGACCGGATAGTACATTACTTTAAAGTTTAAACAAACCCGTCAGCCCAAGTTATGCGACGTCGTATCATTCCAGCCAAGAAAAATTGATACATATAATAAGTGAATTCTCACTTTGAAGACTACAACAAATAATAATTAACTACAATTTTAAATTTAACCTTTAAAATTGATTCTGTAAATGACAACTACATTGCCATATTTTATACAATCTAATTGAGAAAATTGAGTTATAAATATATGTCATAGCACATGTTAAAAAAATATTAAAATGGAAAATAATATATTTATAACATTATTCATTATTTGGCATTTAAACTTTACATTAATGATATGTGAATAAAATGTTGTGCACATATTATTTATGTAATAACTCTTTCTTAAAATGGATATATATATTATGCCTAAAAAGCCAGGGCTGATATGGACCCTTGTCAGCAAGAGTCAATCAGAATTCAGGGACGCTTTGTGCCGTCTAGACGCTTCCACGTCGCACAATGACAAAAGAGGTATGGTTCTCGTCAGTGCAGTAGGTGAATGTCAGGCTTACGAGTGGTTAGGAATCGTCCATCTGCCCAAGCCCTACGAATTTAAGGATGTCTCTCATGCAAACAATCAATGAGAAGCGGGTTAGGAATTGTACCACACATGTTAGACTGTAGACTCATGATTATTACCTTGAATCCTCCCACTATAAATAGAGGGCTCATCTCTCATTTACGGGATTGACTTATCTTTAGTCTTAAACATCATACACACACACACACACACTCTCTCTCTCTCTAGATTGTAACTCAGCTCGCTGCATGTGACTTAACTGTAACCATCTATTAATACAACTACAGTTGACGTATGATTCGTTTTTTAACATCCGAACCACTTTAAAAACCGTTTTTTATTTATTCTCTTGCTACATATTTTCATATCACGTGTTAGCACTTTATATGTGTGAGTCGTTGGTGTCAAAATCAAGCATCAACGAGATATATGGTAATTAATTTTTTCATTAATTAGTATCTGCATGCTTATCCCAACCAACTTACTGTACAAAATCTGATCATTAATGACTTGCCATATGGTATGAGATTACAAGAAGAAGAGAAAGTAAATTGTAACGCCACAGTTCGATGAACTGGAGGCCAAACTTCCGTTCTTTTGCCTCAGCAATGACCTCATCCACGGGCATGCATGCATAAATACCCCCATCATATCTTCCTAATTTGTATAGCAAAGCTGCATACTTTCAGTTTCAGTTATAAACCCCAGAAACACAGCACAAGTAGAGATATATAAAATGGATTATCTTGGTATGATACTAGTCACTTTCATAGTTATTGTTATGACTAAAATTTTTCAAGCATGGACGATGATCGTCTGGAGGCCTTATTTGGTGACCAAAAGATTTCGACAACAAGGAGTTATGGGACCTCGTTATTCGCTTCTTTCAGGCTCTCTTGATGAAATCAAGAAGCTGAGAAAGGTTGCACTGGAAACAGTTTTAGATGTCAAATCACACGATATTACCGAGAGGATTGTCCCGCACTGTAACATTTGGTCGTCATCATATGGTCAGTTTCATAGTTTCAGCAACTTTCAATTTATCGATAGAATGAAAGGACTAATAATTATAAATTTTCTTGTTCATTATTATGTTGATGCTTTGGTTTGCTTTTTATGCCCCAGGAGAGACGTTTCTATATTGGTATGGAATCCAGCCAAGGCTTTTCATTTCAGACCCCAGAGTGGCCAAACATGTACTATCAGACAAGCTGGGTTTCTATGAGAAACCAAGAGCAAGGCCTTCCGCAGAAAAACTAGCCGGCCGGAGAGGACTGGCTTTAATCAATGGATTAGATTGGGTCAGGCACAGAAAGATAGTCAATCCTGCCTTCACCATTGACAAGCTCAAGGTCTCAAACTTCTTTTTAATTTGTTTATATTTTGTTAGTTATTCAAATATATATATATATATATATATAGCTGTTTAATATTTATGATACTATCAGTTTCAGACTCTCAGTTTTGGAAAAATAAAATAATAAATATTTTCACTTTATCAGCTCATGATAAAGGGAATGGCATCATGTACCATATCCATGCTTGACAATTGGAAAAATCAGACTACCAAAACTAGTCAAAAGATTGAGATATATGAGGAGCTCAAAAGGTTACTTGCTGATATAATTGCCCACACGGCCTTTGGAAGTAGCTTTGCGGAAGGGCAGGAGGCCTTCAAGGCTCAAATTGAGCTTCAACAGTTCTGTGCGGCTTCAAGTGCTGACATTTTCATTCCTGGCAGCCAGTAATTACTTCCATCTTAACTTGTAAAATTTTGTAGTTGTAGAATTTTTTACTTGGGAAGCCCCCTTAATTGGTTAACAAGAATTTTCTGTCCGTTTTAGATATCTGCCCACCCCGTTCAATATTCAGGTATGGAAGCTTGATAAGAAGGTGAAAAGCACACTAAGAAACATCATAGAGAGTAGATTGAATACTCCTAAAGATACCAAAACTTCAGGTGGATACGGAGATGATCTAATTGGTGTGATGATTGAAAACTCAGAAATGGTTGATCAAAGTGGATCTGGTCCCAAATTAAACATGGATGAGATTGTGGAGGAATGCAAAACATTCTTCTTCGCAGGCCACGAAACCACAGCCAATTGCTTAACTTGGACCGTCTTCTTGTTGAGTGTACATCAAGAATGGCAGACAAAACTCAGAGAAGAAATATTAAATGAATGCGGGATGGAGATCCCTGATGCGGATATGTTAGCCAAGTTAAAATTGGTAGGTTTTCTTTTTCGTTTCTCGTTCTGTTAGTTTAGTACTGCTTATTATTCTTCAATGGACTAAAGAGGACACTTGACTTGATAGGTGAACATGGTTTTGCTGGAGTCTTTGAGGCTTTATTGCCCAGTAATAAGGGTGTTCAGACAGGCAACAAAGGATACGAAGATTGGGAATTTAATGATTCCAAAAGATACATGTATTGAAATACCTATGGTGAAGATTCACAGGAGTAAAAAATATTGGGGAGAAGATGCAAATGAATTCAATCCACTCAGATTTATTAATGGGATCTCCAAAGCTACAGAATACCCAAATGCTATGCTTGCTTTTGGAATGGGTCCAAGAGTTTGTATTGGTCAGAACTTCGCAATGCTGGCAACGAAAACGGCAATTGCATTGATACTCCAAAAGTTTTCCTTTTCGCTCTCCCCAGAGTATAAACACACACCGATGGACGGCCTTATTCTTCAACCACAATATGGCCTACCCGTTATTGTAAAACCTTTGTGCTAATTGTATGTCACACACAAGATGCTTATGTTGTGGACACTCGGTTATTGGCTGGAGATAGCCAAATCTCTGCCGTTAGTTGTTGATTAAGAATTGCTCTGATTGTTAGTCTTGCTCTTACAATGGACTTTGCAATGTTGCTTATTATGTAAATAAAGGACAATTGTTGCTCTTATGGCAACAAGTAAATAAAACTGAAGGAACATTATTTGTTTTCTTATACAGAATATAATTTGGAACGAATATCTGTTCTAATAAATCTAGAATTCCCTATATAATATAACATGAGCAATTATTTTGCAAAACCAACTAATGAAACTTCTTCTTGGATCTCCATGGAATCTTATTACATGAAATTTGATGAAGCCCTGGCATTGGATCGTTATCAGAGAAGACAAACAACTTGTCAACCTTCTTGGACTTCTTGTTGGAGACATTCTTGATACTCAAGAAAGAAGCTTTTCGCTTCCGGGGTGCTGGAGGACACGTCACCACATCTGGAATTCTATGCTCTTTAGCAGTTGGAGTTGTACAGGTTTCCGCTTCTTCACCTACCGTCAAATTTACTTCTTCTTCAAACTTATCAACAAGTACTTTTCCCGATGGTGTAGATAAACCTGAAGTTTTATCTTCATGATCTTCTCGCTTGTAGAGAGTCACCATCCGCCTCCGCTTAATCAGAAACAAAATAAATCTTGAACAAATACTAAAATTATTCGTCAAAATTTAGATCTAACAAATCGGCAAGCCAGCCTGAGCTGAAGAGTGGAGAATTTGAATTTAGAAGAAGATAACTAGAATGGTTGATGAACTGGAATAAAATGTTAATGGGAAGAAAAGAGGAAGGAGTGGAGTGGGGTCAAGTCGGTGGGGGTGAGACTGACTGAGTGGAGAATTTGGCCCATTTCCATTTGAATTCAATTCATAGGCGGGCCGACGTGTAGAATGGGGTACCACTCGCCGGCCGCCTTTGCTACCGTAACCTCTCCTTTTATGTTTTTTAATTCTTATAACGGCAACTTGGACTTGGACGTTTTCGAAATTTTATTGACACCCCAGTTTAACAACAAACTACAACCCATAGATTTCTAAAGAAACACTTACACCCCTGTAATGATTTCAACTTTCAACCCCTGTAATGGTTGGATAAAAAGACCAAATAGCCACCCTCGATTTTGTTCTGAGCCAACCAAAATCCAATTCTTTAAAATAAAAATAAAAAAAAAAAAAAAAAAAAAATGATATGTAAAACCAACTATTACTCTAAATTTTAAAAAAGAAACACAAAAAATTGCATGATAAGGTTAAAATTTAAAATCATCTACGACATCTTTTCTGCCGAAAGTCGCAGTCAAACAATTATATAGAGTTCAACAGCGCTAAGTTCAGAGACATGTCAGCATCAAGCCAATTTTTTAAGACTTACCCTTGCAATTTCTAAGGTTTAAGGAGGAAGTGATTGATATTTTATCCTTTTCCTCCTTAGCAGTTTTGAGTTTCTATTGCACGCAAGTTGAATTCAATGTAATTGTGCAGTCTTCCCGGAAACTATATGATTTTTCGGTTGTAAGTCACTTTGCCTTATTGTCAGAATAAATTATTCTATTTAATACATTTAATTATTTATTATATTGCTACCTATCCAAATTACCTATAAAAATTGTATGACACAATGACTTTGAATGAGTGGAATTAATAATAAATTGAAACCATTACTTTGTAATATTACTTCAATTTGTATGAATAATTTCAATTTTTAAGTATATATTTAATAATTGTACGAGATTAAATGTAAAAACTAAATATACAAATAGATGACACATATTTCTTTGGTTAACATATCATTTATTGATTGATTTTTTATATATACTCATCCATTTATTTTGTATACCATGTTTATGTAAGTGTGTTGTATAAAATTAATTAATAATTTTGTATGCTTTATTGGGCCAATTTAGTTTAGATTTCAAGTTTTGATAGGTGATAGCTTTCTTTTAGGAGTGTTCGGCTCCGGGTACCTTGCATTTTTTTAAGGAACCGGAACCGGAACCGACGGTTCCTTGAAATTTGGAACCAGAACCGGAACCAACAGTTCCGGTTCCTAGGTACCCAAAACTAGAACTTGTAACAACGGTTTCGATTCCAGTTCTAGATACCCTGTAAAATTATTGACCCCCCCCCCCCCAAAAAAAAGTTTTGAAAATGGTAAAAAAACTCTTTAAAACTTACAAATACCCTCCCACCAGGCATTTGTTAACAAAAATAAAATTACAAATTACAAATTCAAAATTCAAAATTACAAACTCCATTACTTTGTAAAGGTAGATTCTTAAAAGTCAAACCAACTTACTTTAAATGTTATGAAATATAAATATAAATGTATTCACATTACTTTTTCTACAAAAGTTTTTATTTACCCCCCTAATCTTTAATTTGATTTTATATTAGTCTCGGTTCCTGGTTCTTAGTTCCGGTTCCAAAAATTTGGAATCGGAACCTACCCGTTGACGGTCGGTTCTGGATAGGAATCAGAACTAAACCCCAGGTATCCATCGGTTCTGGTTCTAACAGATTCTTTTGAACACCCCTAGTTTCTTTTATATTTTGTTGGGTTAAAACAAGAGGCCCAAAAAAGAACCCATTACATAATCGCTTGATAGGTCTATATAAATTGTTAACGATAGGCAAAGAATATACAAGTGGCTTATAACAATATACACTGGTTTGTTGTAAACAAGTTATCTTAGCTGTTTGCTCAAGTCTCAAATCCAATTTAAGTGCGCGTAAATTAGTGTTTCCTGAAGCTGGTCAATAATTCATTGTTGCTCTTAAAATTGAGCATGAATACCTAATAATAAGCACACTTTTTATTATAATAATATAGTGGTTACAATGGGTCTATATTTCTTGAGTAAACGACATATTCCCACCCAAGGTTTGGCGAAATCCCAAGTAAGTACCCTTAGTTACATTTATTCCAAATTCTCACCCTTAAAGTGACAGAAAAGTGTTAGATGTAATAGTAAATAGGTAAATTGATCATTTTGCATGGACGACACACGTTAGCAAATCGTCGCCTCTAATAGTACTCCGACGCGTTAGCAGATAGAGTCCCCAATTTTTTTGCCCTTTTTCCGACGATTCTTCCACCCAAAATCACCCTTGTCACCACCATTTGAACCCCCATCCTCCTCTCTACAAAACCTTATCCTTCACAACTCTTTATCACTCGCCGATCGTTGGCCACGATAGCCACGACATGAGACTAGTTTTTGCCGGTTTTCGGCCGTTTTAAACGGCGACAAGCCCAACCACCACCACCATTTGACTCCTCGCATCCTCCCCTACAAAATCCTTAACCTTCCGAGCCACGGCAGCGCACCATTTGTTGTCCACCACTTCACCAAAAACACTAATGCACACGAACTCTCGGCCCGCAAACGACGACTAAACGATTGCTGGGGACATTGAGGTTTTATAGAGTTGGAGATGTTGGTTGCAGTGGTGGTGTCCAATTGGATTTTCGCTGCCAGAATCCAGCGAAGAACAGGGAAACCCTAAGCCTAACGACACCAACAATTGGAGGGGCCAATGAGTCGGGAATCAAAGGGGTTTTAGACGAAAAACTACAAGGAAGGTGATGGACGTGACTAGGGGGTTCGACGTTGTCAGAAACAGCCCAAATAGAGCAAAAATCGAGAGGGTGTGCAGTGACCGAGGGTGTTATTGAGGTAATTTGAAAATAAAATAGTAAGTTATAATTCTACTAATTTAGGTGTTAAAACGTGATTTATTAATATAGGGTTAAGGCCATTATGATAATTGTATCCTCTAAACCCTAAAAATTGCTAACAATATTATTTTAAGAGTGAAAATCTGGAATAAATGTGATTTTATCAAACCTTGGGTGGGAATATGTCATATTTCTTAATCATGGCCCGCCCCGGCCACATCCTTGGCTGCCTCTTTCATCCAAACAAAACAAGCGGCAAAAAGCAATTGTGATTTGTCACATTCTTTGCTATAACCAAAATTTATGTTGTAATGATAAAAAGAAAATAAAACCAAAGTAACAATATATTTTATACAGAGTAATATTTGAATGAAAAATCAAATCCCTAATAAATTTAAAATTCCCCACCTAAAATTCTTATATCATCTAACAATTAATTTGCAAAATCAACCATGCACTACTGAAACTTCTTCTTGGATCTCCATGGAATCTTTTTACACGAAACCTGGTGAAGCCCCAGCATTGATTCAAATTCCGAAGAGACAAACAACTTGTCTACCTTCTTAGACTTCTTCTTTTTGGAGACATTCTTGATACTCAAGAAAGAAGCGTTACGCTTCCCCGGTGCCGGAGGACACGTTACCACTTCTGGAATCCTGTGCTCTTTAGTAGTTGGAGTTGTACAGGTTTCCGCTTCTTCGTCAACCGCAAGTACTTTTTCCAATCGTATGGACAAAGCTGAAGTTTTATCTTGATCTACTTTCTCGTAAAGAGTCACCATCTTGTTCACAAAGCCACCCAACGATCAATATCGGAAAATATGATAATTATTTGTCAAAATAAAGGTCTAGCGAATCAACAAGAGGATGGAGAAGCCAGCTGACCTCAAGAGCAGGGAAGATACGTAGAATGGTGGCTGAAGTGAGTGTGAACGAAAATAAGAAGGAAATTGGAAGGGGTGGGGTGGGGTGGGGTGGGGTGGGGTCGAGTCGGTGGGCGTGATAGTGAAGTGAGGTTGACCCTTGTGGATTTGAATTGAATTTATAGGCGGGCGGACGTGTAGAGTTGGCTATCAGTTGCCGGCCGCCTTTAGTACTATTGTAACTTTTGTTTTTAACTCCTAATAACAATTAACTTTTTGACTTTTGCTGTACTTTTAGCAACTCTAAAGGACTCCTACTCCTAGTCCACTTCCGAGTTAATTGGTAACTCATCTTAATTAGGATATTATATCCCTATAGAAAAAGAGATTGTTAGAAGGACAACTTAATTTATTAAATCATTATTCCATGAGAATAGCAGCGATACATTAATAAATTATTTCTTACATAAGTGTCGTTAGAAATTAGTTAAAGAAACCGTTAAAAAACATATATACCTGTAACATTGTTTAAACATTTCATTTGTTTCCTCTAAAACCGTTTATATGGTTGTTGAACAGCATTACCCTCAGTTCCGTTA